CCCCCACCCCGCCGCGGGCCCGGCCGCTCCCTCGCCCCCGGCGGGAACCCGCGGCCGGTTCGTTGCAACCGCTGCACTGGGCGGGTCTGAGCACTTGAACTAGAGCGCAGGCCTGATGAAGTCGCTTAGTGGGTCGGTCCCGACCAGCCTTCTCTTCCTGTGCTTAGGAATGGAGTGAATCACTGAATAGCATCAATCAGAGCGATTCTCAAGAATCCTTGAGAAGAAGAAAGGTTTTTTTCAGTTAAAATATATCTGTTACTGGGGATTCTTGGCTAAAAATGTGAAAAACATTCTCTTCAATGACTTTTCTAGTCCTTCGCAGACCTCCAAAAAGACCCCACACTCACTAGAAGCTGAAACTACAGACAGTTCTGCTTAACGAGTGGAGGAGTTTACTAAAAATTCCAAGCTGTGGTTTATTCTAGTTTGGGGATAACATCGCTCCTGTCCTGGGTGTCTGCGGATATTGTGACTACACGTGCACATGACTTCAGCGATTTTTGTTAAACGGTGATGTGTGCCCTTCACGAAACAACACAAAACTAAGACATTGAAAGAACACCCAGCGAATGGCAGGTGCTACCCTTGCACAGGCAGGGAGATGTGTCCGCAGAGAGACTCCCTTAGTTATTCGGAGTCGCCAGACTTGTTGGAGTCGCTTCCTGCTTGTCCACAGGAGAGCTGGGAAGAGCAGTGTTCATGAATCACTGGGTCTTATTCGTTTAAGCAGCAATAACAAAAGGTCTGCAACGCGAGGCCATAGAAGATGAAATATATGGATGGCACGGAGGAAAATTCCAGTATGCATTGCACTTCCTCTTAACCCCTCTGCCCGCTTGGTTACATCCTTTCTCGGATCTGAGTGTGTGCATAGCAGGACAGGCGTTACAGAGCAGTTCCTGCCAGGAATCGTGTGAACCCCATCCTCACTGGGAACGATTTCCTGCCCAGTTGGCGTGGAAGTGCTTGCTAGCGAAAATGCCACACAGGAGCACTCTTGCTCATAAATGGGAGCAGCGCTGGGGAAATAGAGCCAGTGGGATGGCAGCTGTACCAAGGCTCAGACTGCAGCTTGGGCCTGTGTATGTGTGTGCATGGGGGAGGTGTCAAAAGCAGAGAATGTCATGGCAACCTGGCAATTTGCTGTAACAAATAGTTTATTTCCATGGAGCTAAAAAAGTAAAACTTCCCAACAGGAAAGAGGTGTCAGGGCGAATGGGAAAATACAGCAGGCAGGAAGTCAGGAGCCCTCACTTCTCATAGTGCCTCTTCCTGGAAACTCCTCTGTCCTCGTGCCCTGCTGCTTCCTCGTCCCAGAGTTAAGTTTCTGTGATTCTGAGAAAGTCATGGTCCCTCCTCTGAAAAGACCCCAGGTCATCCATTCCAGGCAGCTCTAGCTGGTGGGAAGCTTGCTAGAGGCAAGTTGATTACTCTAGAAACTTGAAATTTACTCTTGTTTGTGGGCTTTTTTCTCCTCCAGCTCAGAAATATGTGCCCAGGGCTGCCCTGGTGGACTTGGAGCCAGGCACCATGGACAGTGTGCGGTCCGGGCCTTTCGGACAGCTCTTCCGGCCTGACAATTTCATCTTCGGTAGGTTCCATCTTTCCTCTTTCTTCTTCAAAAAGAAAATCAAATGAGTTTATGCCTAAGATTAAAAATACCATATAGCATGGAAAACCTTTGAATGGAAATCAGCAGTCCCCAGCCCTTGCCTCCATCCCAGCTGGGCCCATCACAGGAAGTGGTTTTCTTAAGTCTTGACTTTTTCTTTAGGGAAGTAACCTCCATATCTCTACATGAAATCTTATACTAACAGTTCTTGATTGAAAAACAAAAACCAAGAAACAATTGTAGACATTAACTTTTTTCTCCTTCTCATTATGAAGGTATTTCACCATTTGTTTTGGTTCCTACATTGGTCATTTTTAACTTCGATGTGTTTATACCTATATATTTTTTAAATTTATTTGTAGAGACAGTGTCTTACTGTGTTGCCCAGGCTGGAGTGCAGTGGCATCGTCATAGCTCGCTGCAATCTTGAACTTCCTGGGCTCAAGTGATCCTCCTGCCTCAGCCTCCCAAGCAGGTGGGACTACAGGCATGCACCACCATGTCCAGTTATACCTATATTTCTTTTTCCGTCATCTGTGGACAGTTGTACTGCTTTCTTTCTAAAGGCTAGCACCATATGAGCTTTGTTTTGTCAGAATTGGGTAAATCCTTTTTTCTTCCTTTTCTCCACCTAAAAAATGATGGTGGAACCTATCTATCTGCAGACTCCTAAAGAAAATCATAAAATTAGGTGATGTGGTACCATTAGTGTTACCAGGTAAGGCTTCGAATCTATGGCAGATTTGGATGTTTCCCATTTCTCATCTGAAATGTGAGATACCACATTTCAATTTTACATTATTTTTCAAAAATTACCACTTAACTATTGAGTAAGAGAGGGAGAAATTATTACTTATCAACAGAAATACCTCAATCAATCAACAAACATGTTTCCAGTACCTGTGAAAGATAGAGTGTCTTTCAAGGAAATGTGAGAATTATCAGGCTGATTGCTGGCTTAAAAAAGCACTATGGTATAGGAATCAAATACATTATCTCACATCTACATTCCAGTGCCTTCCTCAAAAGGCACCAGGTAGAGATAGTTTAATTGAGGGTAATAGACGACCTTGTTATCTAAACCATTCCAGGCTTTCCTGGAATTTTCCAACATGGTAGCTTCCACGAGAACATACAAGTGAAAGCTTACTTAAAATATAGTGC